CAGTAATGGGCCTACTTCCATGCTAAAATGGAAGCCCAAACTTCAGATCCAGCCCACGCTCTTGAGTTTGTCCTTGCCCCTCATCCTAGTACAAATATGCCGTGGTTAAGTGCACCACCCCAAAGACCCCAACACCACCACTGCCATTTCCCAGACACTCACATGACCTGCTTTTCCTGAAGGTTAATAGGTGGCATGGCACGGAGACCAGGCTTGTTTGCTGAAGTACTATCACCTGAGCAGAGGGGGTCTGGGACAAGAAGCCCGTTGAGATCCCCATTGTAGGCATTAGATGGGCGCTGACTCTCTGCACTGGGACCTGGGGACAGAAAGGTCCACTCTGATGAGGTTGTTCCACCTGCCCACTGGCCTCTCCTCCTGCAGAACTTCATTTAAGAACCATGAGGTGCTCTGGGAACATTCAACTGAGGGAGCCATGTCTGTGGGGAGGAGGACACTTGGTTCATCTCTTGTTCCGTAAGCACTGACGGTTAACACAATCTCTGCCAGGACCAAAGACATGCATGTGGCTCTTCTACCTAAAGGAAGAGTAAAGCCATCAAGAACCCTGTAAAGCCAATTAATATTTACGTCCAAATCAGCACAGAGGGACTCTGTACTGAGGGAAGGCATGGATAGGGTCAGTAGAGACTTCATTAAGGAGGTCGATCAGAGCCAGTGTGGCTGGAACACACAAATGTAAGAAAGAGGGAGGGAAAACAAGTCACAGAGATCTCAGATATGAAGCTTGGGTGCTTAAATTCTCCCTGTGGCACTGAGAGCCACACAGTTTTAAACAAGAAGGTGACATAGTCTGCTATTGCGAAAAGAATGACTGTTCTAGGGCACCTGGGTGGCTCAGTGGGTTAAAGTCTCTGCCTTCAGCTCAGGTCATGATCCTAGGGTCATGGGATCGAGCCTTGAATCGGGCTCTCTGCTCAGCAGGGAGCCTGTTTCCTCCTCTCTCTCTCTGTCTGCCTCTCTGCCTGCTTGTGATCTCTACTTGTCAAATAAATCAAGTCTTTAAAAAAAAAAAAAAAAGAATGACTGCTCTAAGGCAGCATGTAGGATAGTTAAGAATTTAAATAAGATATACCAGGTCCTAAACCAAGATAATGATAGATGGTAGAGAAGGGAAGATGGGCTCTTAAGGTATGAAAGGACACTGATAAGATGTGGGAGTAAGAAAGAAAGCAACCTGCCTCTCAAAGAAGTGGTTCAGAAGAAGTCACCTTGGGCAGGTAACTTCAAAAGAAAATGAAGGAGTTGGACAAAGTGGAGAGAAACTCTAGGACAGGATGGGTAGTCAGGAAAAGCAGCATTTCATTTGTTTGCCATTAGCTATTTCAAACACCCTCACAGGCTCAGGCACCACCCTAAAGCTCCCAGGTGACAAGGAGACTAGGGCCCCACGTTGAAAAACATGGCAAGGGACGCCTGGGTGGCTCAGTCGTTATGTGTCTGCCTTCGGCTCAGGTCATGATTCAGGGTCCTGGGATCGAGCTCTGAATCGGGCTCTCTGCTCAGCAGGGAGCCTGCTCCCCCCTCCTCTCCGCCTGCCTCTCTGCTTGTGATCTCTGTCAAATAAACAAATAAATCTTAAAAAAAAAAAAAGAAAAAAGAAAAACATGGCAAGGTTCTGGTCACAAAACAGTCTGGCATCTGACATGGTCCTCCAGTGCCTCCAGAGGAGACAAGCAAGAACTATTTGGCAAATGGGACAATTAAGTACCAATCAATATATAAGAAATTAAGTGGAAAACCTCCAAGCCACTTCATTTGGATCAGAGCCATTTTAGCTGCTCAGGGGTAAGCTGGCCACTCTCCTTCCCGGGCAGGCTACCATGAGGACAGACAAACAAGCTGCAAAATACCGGCCATGCCAGACTCTACCAAACCTTTGAGTAGTCTAGTCTGCACAGGGCTGATGAGCATGAGAGGTCCAAGCCAAGCTTACAAGTAAAGGGACCACAGACTCCAGGTCTGGGGCGAACTGCTCAGTGGTTTCAGGCAGAAGATGGATTTTCCTCAGGTGGCAAGGGGTAGTTAAACCCACCCAGTGTGAGCACTAGTGTCTGCTTTAAAAGCAGCTAGTATAGTATGGGTCTCCCAGCAAGTTTAAGTACAGGGTTTGAAGAACACCAATTCTTAGCTGTGGCCACTGCAGACCCCACACCACCATCACCAGTCTTTCAACCACTACCACTTTTCACAGGTCCCTAAACCTGTCAGGAAACTTTGGTACCTTCACACACGCTATTTCTTCTTTGCAGAATGCCATTCCTGACACTGAATCACCTGTTTGTATTATTAACACCTAGCCTAAACACTGTCTTCTCTCTCAAATGTGTTCTCAAGCACTTTCCAGCCCTAACCTCACATACCTGGTCTCCATCACAGTACCAAAATATTCTTTTTCTCAATGACAACAGCATTATATTACAACCTCATTAGTTCTCTATGTTCTGGGGGCTCTTTGGAGGCAGGAGCAGCTCTGAGGTATCATTGCAAGCCCAAGTAAAGTTTAAGTGAATGGAAATAAACCAGGGCTTACAGATGTTTGTAGCCTAATCCAATCAGGGCCGTGCAGTCTGTGATTTGGTTTAATCCCAGAAAGGACACAAAAATGGGGTGGGTCATCCACCTCCTGAAAATCAGTTTTAGAACAGCAGGCCTGTTGTCTATATTCCAGAGTGAAGGGCAAGTTGCAGAGGGTGACAGTGCTCCTCAGCACAGTGCTTAGGTCTAGACCCAAAACTCAGCATTCAGAGCCCAGACCAGGCCTCTGAACTATATGGTATAAGGATGAGGAACCTGAGCTAGTCCCAGGTACACTTCAGACCTTGGGGCCAGGACACGAAGGAGCCCCTGCGGATTCAGAGAAAGAACCTCACCTTCAGCAGAGACGCTGAAGGACGGGGAAGAACGGCCCGGCCCCAGGATGAGAACAGATCTGCAACCTTGGCGGGCAAGCTCAGGAATTTACCGCTCCAACCCTCGTCTTACCTCACCAGCCAGGAAGATGCAGTATGGATCCTGAGGGACCTGAGGGACCTGAGGACTCAGAAGGCGGCCCAGGCCCGCGCCGCCCTTCTGCCCGCCAGCCAAAGGCCCACCCCCGCTGTCCCGGCTCACCCCCCGCGGGCCGGTCCAGCTTGAGGATGTCCCGCAGGTGCTGCGTGGCGTCCTCGATGTCGATGCTTGCGCAGGAGGAGGCCATGGGCCCCGCCTTGGGCGCCTCGTCCGCCCTGCGTTCGTTTCGCTGCCGCCGTGCACTGTGCAGCCGCGCACAGCCCTGCCGGGGCCAGACAGCAGGACACCGGTCACTCGATTCGGTCCACCCGCAGCCCGCAAACCGCCGCCCGCGCCGCGTCCCTGTAACCCACCAGCCCCACCAACCGCCTCCACTTCCGGCCCTCCGGAGCGCCGGCCCCCGGAACCTGCGCAGGGCGGAGAAGAAAGGTTCCGGGCTGGGGGCGGAAGCTTCGCCCCCACCAGACCCCTCGGTCAACGGGCGTTCCTCAGGGCTGAGGCAGAGCAAATATCGAGGTACTGAACCGCCCAAATCCCTACTCGCCTCAGGACATCCTTTGTCCATTCCCCAAACATGGACTCCTGATGGGCCTGGAACTAGATCAACTCAGCCGCCCAGGTTACAGTCCCTAAGACCCTCCCAAAGAACCTGAATCGGTATGAGCCTAGGTTTCTCCTTGGGGAAATGGGGCAGGGCAACCCAAGGTCTCAGGGGAATCACAGGCCCAGGAATTACAAGGGCAGATGATCAAACCACAAACATCACATTGTTCATGTCCCCCAGCATCCCTACCCACCCAGGCCTGACACCCCCAGACAGAAAAAGAAACCAGAGTTTACAAACACCTCTTTATTGCAGAAATTTCAGGCACAGGTACATGGAAGAAGCTGTATTGCAGAATACAGGGTGGTTTAAGAGGCACCAGGCATCTACCTCTCTCACAAACCCCACTCCCCAAACACACAGCATCCTAAATCAGTCCCACTGAAATCTCAATTTGTGGTCTGCCTAACTGTGGCACCCTCACCAATCCTGAAACCCCTAAGAGGGCACCAGCCCAAGACCTGAGTTGGTTCTAGCTTCTGATTGCTATCTTGCCACCAGGCTTATACCACCAGAGGTCTCAGGGCTCAAGGGCTAGTTCTGCAATGGGCAAGGCCTCTGTTCCCCAAATTGAGAAGCAGAAACTGCCCCAATAGTTAAGATTTCCTGGGACTTAAAGACAATATGAAGGTGTGTGTATGGTGAGGGAGGAAGCAGGAGGCCTAGAGATGCCTTGGAGAGGTCTGAGGGGTGAGAAATCCCAGAGCACAAATTCCTCAAACTCAGACTTTCACTAACTCTTAAGTCGATACTCCAACCCAACTGGGCCTTTCTCTGTGGGCAATGGAGGCTGGGTGTTCTGGGCACTCACCTCTGGGCAATGACATCCAAAGTAGGTGGTACAAAATCTGAGCTGCCCTCTGCTTGGCTTAGGGTTTATGGGGCACCCTGGATGTGATCCTGACCATTCCGGGGGGTCATTCCGGGGGATCAAACAGGACCCTCTCCCTCAAAACCATAGGGTAGTTTTGCTGAGGCCTCAGTCCAGAGCACCTAAACCTGATGAGTCACTTTCAGGGGGATTCTAGATCATTTCTATTACCAGAGGCCCGATCCTACACAATGTAGGAGTCGTCAGAACTGACTGCAGAGGCTCCGGGGCAGAGGAAGCTTCGGGCTGGACCTGAGCTGTCTGCAGCTCGGTTTTCCAAGCCAGTGGGGCTGAGGTGGGGAATATTTTGCCCTACAGGGCTTCTGAGAGAAGCTAGCTGGGAATGCCGCTTCAGCAGTTTTCTCTTTGCCACAGGTATTGCTGAGTTGGGGGGAAGGTGGGAAGGTGGGAAGGTGAGACATGAGAGAGCCAAAGGGGCAAGGTGATTACTGATGCCCAGCCAACTATTAAACTAATTAAAACAATTTAAACTGTTAAGAAAATTTTGTGGTTTTATTGTATCATGAGGCATTGAAACATCCGAACAAATCAATATCGGGCGGTGAGGCAGCTGCTTTCTCCTTCACTTCTTTGGGTTACTAGAGCAACTTGTCAGTAGATTAAAAAAAAAAAAAAAAAAGACAACCTTTTGCATTACTTAAGTCTTTCCAAGGCATGCGCTGGTACAACACAAACTTCTCCTGTCTAGCATCCAAACATCATGCACAATACCTCGGTAGCAGCCGCGCACTGCACCCGCTCCCACCGCGGCCCTGCTCGTTTGTGTATGATATTTGGAGCATCTGGAGGAGTGTGAATAGTATCAGGAAGAGGAGGGAGGAGGAAACAGCATGAGTGCCTGGCTGGGAGGAGGTCAGCCGAAGTTGTGCAGGGCAAGCCTGAACATGTCATTGGTGCAAACCCAAGCATCGTTGATGTTCTTTAAGAGGAACATCTGGTGGAACCCCATGATGGGGTCTTCATCAGCCTGTGAGGAGAAAGAAAATGCTTCAGTTAGTGAGCCTAAGAACAGGAAGGTGGTTCAGGGGTAGGGGAACAGGACAAACAATGCCGACTTTGGGATCAGACCCTAGTGTCTTGGACTTAACTTCCAGTATAGCCACGGGATACTTGTGAACATGAACTGATATAATATACTGGGCACACAGGGGGCACAGATGGCAGTTCACGCTGCTGCACGCACCTGAACCACCCAGTAAGTCACCAGTGAGCTACTGCAACAAAGCTCAGAGCTCCTATGTCTAGGCACAGTGATCAACTTGAGAGACTCCTGCACTGCTCACCACAGACCTTACAGTACCTAAAAACCAAGCAATCTTAGTGTCTGTCTGATTACCATGCCAGGTAGTCCAATTAGGAGAAACTATGCCCACTACTGACTGTGACCAGGTGACTGAGAAAAGGCTCAAAAGTGAGTTCACACTATAATCACACCTCTACAGGGCAAAAATGAAGCAATGCCACCAGGCAATGTTTCCTGTCACGTCATATATAACATTTGCAACGAGAAAAGAAAGGCAAAACACCTTCAGCCAAACTGCAGATGACCGGGATGAAGCCTAGTTAGGGTAGGAGCCCACTTACCCAGCTCAGTATCTAACATTGTTGGGTTTTCTAAGAGTTATCATGAGCAAGAAGGCAAATCAGTCTTTTGGGGATTCTGAGTTGGACAAAAACACCAGAATTAACCTGAAGCCAGGTAGGAATGGGCAACAATTACTGACCCTAGCTTAGAAAGTGGGCACTGAGTCCCCCGGAGAGACTATTTCACTCAAAAGGGCCTATTTGAGCACAAACTCTGGACAGGGCACGTTGGGCAGGCAGTAAAAACTGACAGGAAAGTCCAGGCCAGAAGGCAGGTCCCACTGGGTCCACGGCAGAGGCCTAGAGGCCTCCTCTCTCTGTCCTTGTATTCAACTCAGAAGGCCCCACCTAGCATAGGGAGAAGGCATACAGGCCTTCAGAGCCCCATGGTGACACAGGTCCAGGAGACTGAGACCTGGTCAAGGGGGAACCAATTTGTCCTGCTTTGGGAAGGAGGAGAGGCTTTTTTGGAAACTCAGAATCTGGCTTCAGTCTGCTGGAGCATAATAGTAGGAGTTCCTGGGAGAGTTCTTGGGGGACAGAGGAGCTTAAGGCTTTGAAGAGGACAGGTCTTGAGAAGAAGGGAGGAAGAGTGCAAAGAGGAGCAGGAGTTCTGGGAATCTGCTTTGCTCAGCAGGTGGAGGAGCCAGCGGCCAGCTCAGGGAGTGGGAGCATGGACTCAAGACAGTGACTGCGACTCAGCACCCAGCTAGCTGGCCCCTGAAGGGCCAGCTGCCAGCAGAAAGCCTACCTACATTTCAGGGCAGTACAGAAGCCCGACAGCTTGACACCACAGCTCCACCCTGCTCCTATATCTCTTGTCCCTTTTCCAAAAAGGCTCTAGACCAATACTCTCCAACAGTACTTTCTGTAACAACACAAACAGTCTGGGAACCTAGGTGGCTCAGCTGGTTAAGCACCTGACTCATGATTTCTGCTCAGGTAGTGATCTCATGGGTCGTGAGAGTCGTAAGATCAAGCTCCGTGTCAGGTTTTGCACTCAGTGGGGAGTGTTCTCAGTATCTTCCCACTTTCTCTCTCTCTCTCCCTTCCTCTACCCCTCCCCCCACTCGAGCACATTCTCTCAAATAAGTAAATCTTAAAAAAACAAACAAACTGGGGGCACCTGGGTGGCTCAGTTGGTTAAGTGACTGCCTTCGGCTCAAGTCACGATCCCGGAGTCCCAGGATCGAGTCCCACATCGGGCTCCCAGCTCCATGGGGAGTCTGCTTCTCCCTCTGACCTCCTCCCCTCTCATACTCTCACTCTCTCTCTCAAATAAATAAATAAAATCTTAAAAAAAGAATTATATCTGCACTGTCCAATAGGCCGCCATAAGGGCTATGAGCACTTAAAACATAGCTAGTTCAACTGAGAAACTCCATTGTAACTTTATTTCATTTTAATTAATATAATTTTAAAACTAACATATAGGGGCACCTGGGTGGCTCAGTGGGTTAAAGCCTCTGCCTTCGACTCAGGCCATGATCCCAGGGTTCTGGGATCAAGCCCCACATCGGGCTCTCTGCTCAGTGGGGAGCCTGCTTCCCCCCCCCCCCCCCGCCTCTCTGCTAACTTGTGATCTCTGTCAAATAAATAAATAAAATCTTAAAAAAAATAAGAAATAAAACTAACATTAAGGGGCACCTGGGTGGCTCAGATGATTAAGCATCTGCCTTTGGCTCAGGTCATGATCCCAGAGTCCTCAGATCAAGCCCCACACAGGCCTCCCTGCTCGGTGGGGAGTTTGCTTCTCCCTCTCCCTCTGCCTTTCTCCCTGCTTATGCTCTCCTCTCTCTCTGTCTCTGTATCTCTCTCAAATGAATAAATAAAAATCTTGAAAAACAACTATCATTAAAATTAAAATGTAATTTAATAATGTGACTAGAGGTTGTTATTGTACTGAATTATACAGCTCTAGATGCTCTGGGTGTCCCTTGAGAAGCAGGTCACACCACAGAGAAGGCTGGGGTGCAGGGCTCTTCTCTGCCGCCCACTCCTCCCTACCACCAGTATTATGAGGCAGCACTACTTGCCTTGAGCTGGCCCACAACCATGCTGATGATGCAGCTATCTGGCGTGGGCTGATGGTCCTGTGCCGTGATGCTGTGCTGGATTTTCTGGAACGGAAGGCTCTGCAAAAGAAAGAGTGCGCAGCGCGCTGCAGCCAGCAGGGCAGGGAAGTAGCCGCTTATAGCACGGCCCTGGCCCTTACTTACAGACAGCTTCTCCACAATAGCAGCTTTCCCCTGGAACTGCTGTCCTTCCCACGTAAGGCATGATGCGTCAATCTGAAACCCAGAAAACATGGGGTTAGGGCCTTGTTTGGGAAAAAATGAGTCCAAGCTTCAGTTTCCTTATTGGTGGAGAAAAGAACTGAAAGTAGCTTCCATACTTTACACTATTAACAATCTCTTTAATTATTCCCTATCTTCCCAGAGCCCAGGCTCTGAAACACTAAGAAAATATAAATGTATTTAGTAAGCTCGTTACCAGTTTTTATTCAAGAAGTTATATGGCCTCTGATATGCCTGAGCCCCAGGCTGGCTATACAGAGCCAAGGCTCAGCCCAAAGTCATCCTGCTGTGTGGTCAGTCAGCACCAGTCCTAGTAAAGCCCACAAGAAATAAGGAAACAACCTATATTCATCACCATCTCTAGAGCTTAGGCTAAGTTCTACTGAGGCCATTCCCATGGGGACATCCATAGGATCAGGGAAGGACGGAAGCTGACAAGGCCTCCCAAGGCCTAGCCTGGGACCCTCCCTTCCATCAACATGCAATCCATTAGCTTTCTCCCCTTCCCTCCAGATCTCCCCTGCCACAGCTTTCAGGGGCAGAACTCAAAAGTGCCTCTGCCACTTACCAGCTATAACATTTGGCAAGCCACTTATTTTTCTGAGTCTGTTTCCTGATTTTATATAAATTTTTTTTTAAAGATTTTATTTTTTTGTCAGAGAGACACAGCAAGAGAGGAACACAAGCAGGGGGAGTGGGAGAAGGAAAAGCAGGCTTCCCGCTGAGGAGGGAGCCCAATGTGGGGCTCGAATCCAGGACCCTGGGATCATGATCTGAGTCGAAGACAGACTCTTAAAAACCGAGCCACCTAGGCACTCCTATTTTTATATATATATATATATATATATATATATATATATATATATATATA